CACTAAGTATGAGTAAATAATTAAAGAGACATGATAAGAGGCTCAATATATAGAATTCCAATTGTACAAGCAAAGAGAGGTTAGAAACAAGTACACATTTCCAACTTACACATACAAATTGACAAGTTGTAATAAAATCTAAGAAAATTCCATTAACAAAATAATACCTCTTTTATTAATTACTTGGCTTTTATAAGATATTGTAGGTGATAAAACAAAAATGGCTAGGAATCCTATCTAAATTATATAAAATTTTATTGTACAATATCTACAACAAGCAAAGGACTTCTAAACAATTAATTTTGATATGATTATTATAGCATTGATTAGTGACAATCATCACATATAGAGAACAAGTGAAAAACACCATCAATTAATGTTGTCTTATGTGTCTGTAGGAAAAGAAAGAAATGGTGTTATATTGCTTGTAGAAATATTTTTTAGTCACCAAAGCATGGCTGTGGAGGTTCAAAATCTTTAAGAAATTAGTTTTCTTTAATGAGATATTACTCTCTACCCAGCAAATTAGCTTAGGGCTGAGGCCACAAAAGAGAGATAAAAGAATTGTTATCATTGCTACTACCTCCCTGAGCCATGGTAGAAGATCAAGTTAGATCAACTTTTAACATCTAATTTATTAAAGAAGTAGGAATATAATCCTTCAAACTCTTTATCTTATTTGAAAATAAAAAATCTTTGTATATAGAAACATATGCCAATTCAAGAAGATCAAGAGATTGTAGCTTTCTCTTAAGAAGAATAATCACATGGCATCTATAGATTGAATGCAATAATGTGGCATTTGATAATATATTAGCAAAGGGAGAAAATTCATAGCCTCATGTGGCTTTGATTCATTGACTATAGAAGACTTACTTAGAAAGTGACCCAAAAGAAGATCAAACAATCATCAAATATGAGAAAGTGGTTGTTTGTAGAATTTTAGCAAAAGTGGTATTCTAAAGAAATGCTAGCCATTTAAGCTAAAAGTGGCTTCCAATAAAAATTAGTTTGTCCTAGTACAAGTTGTTAAAGATGCAATTTAAGTGATGCCTAAAGTTAATGGTAGCTAGACTTGGTTGGGATGTATATACTTCTATATTTTTTTTTAATAAATATTTTCTTTATTATTGTCAAAGAATAATTTATATATATATATATATATATATATATATATATATCAACAAGACTAGAGGTCAATTAAATATGGATTAGTCTCATATGTCAATAGTCTTCATCATTTCATCTTTAGGTGAGATTCATGAAGGATTCAATAGAGACTACATTAATGTGTCCTTCACCACCTTACAAAGTTAAATAAAGTTGATTCTTGTAAATACTTAAGCATTGATTTGTTTTTGTCCATGAGTTGCAAAATCCAATAATCATGAGTGCAAAAGTATTTTGTGGAATCTAATAGATAGAGATGGTCATTTTGTCATTGCTTAGAAATGGTATATTAACAACAGTAATAAAAACCATATCTTGCATAGCGTAAATGCATTTCACAAATTCATGTACTTACACATGGCAATACTTAGTTGAAATTTTTGCACTTTTATTTTTTACCTAGGAATAAAAAAGTGGATTATGGTAGATGTGATCAAGGAATAAAGAGACTCTTAAGCAAGGCTATACAAGAAAACCATAAATAATCAAGATCTCCCTACTAATAACTTCTAATATGAAAAAGATGAATATTTTTAGTTATTCAAACCTAATAAAGAATTTTAATGAAATTATTTTGAGGTTTTTAGAAGAATGGTCTCTTAAGTCCTAATGTGTCTCTAGATATTTGGAAGAAGAATTATGGCTGACACATACAAAGTCAATATTACAAATTTATACACTAAAAAAAGGTTTCTACAATGTTATTAATATTTTATAATAGAACTATCATATCATTATAAAGTGCCATAATATCAAATATTTTTTTTAATTTTAGGCTAATATTTAAAATATAATAAAAAATAATATAATAATAAATATTTTATATTTTTATTTATTTATAAATTACTAAAATATAATAAGTTATTTGGAAATATATAAAAAAAGTTATTAATTGCTAAACAAATACTAATAATAGGAAAATTAGATGTTTGAGAGTTTCATATGTTTAAAGTAATATAACTATTTCATAATTTGTTAGGATGATATAAATGAAGGATTTATTAGGATATCTTTAAAATATACATTACCATAAAACTTTAATTGCTTCAATCAAAGGAATATTATAAAATAGAATAACAAAAAAATGGTTTTAAAAACCTTCTTAAAATAAATTGAATGGCTTTAAATGATATTTTTATATTTATTTAAAAATATAATTCTTAAAAAAAATAAAAATTTTAAATTTAAATAAGATATATATATATATATATATATATATATATATATATATATATATATATATATATATATATATATATATATATATATATATATATATATATATATATATGAATTAATTTGATTCTTTATTCTATCTGGCAATATATTCGGACCTTAAAAATATTTTTTCCATAATATTTTTAGACATATTATCAGATGTAATAAAACTTTCACTAATCACATGTTTTATTAATAATTTTATTTTATAATATTATATTTATAAATTTAATAATGAATAATAAATAAAAATAAAAATAATTTTAAGAAGAAATATTTTTTAAAAAATTATTATAATATATCAAATACTTAAAAATAAATCATGGACGCATTAGCAAGGACATATGACTAGCATGAAGATCTATGTAATAAATATTATATTGCTTGCAAAAAATATTTGAATATTTTTTTAGATTCTTTGCTATATTATATAAGAATTTAGTGATTTATTTTAGATAATATTTAATGAAATTAATATTTTAAAAATATTTAAAACTATAGATGTATTAATGATATTATAATAGAAGCAATATTTCTTTTTAATGAAAAAAAGATGCAAAATTAAGTGTGTTTTCTATAGGAATTTATTAAAATAAAAATTTGCTTTAGCAAAACATATATATGGCAAGTATAGATTAGTACTAAATAATATTTAGTTTGATTTTAGGAGTGCCAAAAAAAAGTCATATTTATTACACACACACACACACACACACACACACACATATATATATATATATATAAATTTTGTAAGGATATATATATATATATATATATATATATATATATATAAATTTTGTAAGGATATATATATATATATATATATATATATATATATATATATATATATATATATATATAAATTTTGTAAGGATATATATATATATATATATATCCTTATAAAATTTTTAAAAATTAATTTTTAACATTAACACAAAATATATAATTATTTAAAATATTATAATAGTTAACACTTATATATATTAATTAAAAATTAATTTACTTTAATGGTCATAAATTAATAAAATATATCTTTAATTTATAGATATTAAAAATATCATCTATACTTTTATATAGATTTTTTTTATATTTGATGTAAAAAACTTGATAGCCTACCAATTTTTCTTTAATGGTAGTTACTATATTTATATAGTATATTTTTTCATTAAAAAATTATAAACTTTTAAGTGAAGCCACCTTGACATCTTTAACAATCTTTTTGAGATGTATAGACATGGACATTGTGTTTAATTTGAATTTCTAAATACAAAAAAAAAAAAAAAAGAATGAAAATATTTATAAGTCTCTTTTCTTATTAAATCCCATTTCATAGTTAGATTTACAATTTATCTTTAAATAAAAAAACTACTTTTCTTTTGTATAAGCAGACTAAAAATTTGTATTTAAAAATATTCATAAATTAAATTAAATGAAATTTTAGATATTAATCAAATAATTTCAAGTTATTTAGTTATATTATCTAAAATATGTACATCAATTAAATTATTTATTTATTAGAAAATTTATTAAAGCTTCAAAAGTTTTACAAATTGTATTAATATTTTTGATAAATATTATTTTTTTCAAATAACCTAAGTTATGATGTTTACACTTAATTTTTTTAATTTTTCAAACAAAATCTAATTACTTTTATTGGGTTTTTATGATTGAATAATATTTTAAGCATATTTTTCTTGATAATATTTTTTATTTCAGAATATTATCACTATTTAAAATATTATATCTAATTCGTGCATTAAAAAGAACAAGTTATTTTCAAATTTTAATTATTTTAATAAATTAATCTTATAATTTTTATGCATATTCCATCTTAATTATGTATATGTATCATACATCAACATTTAATTGTGCCCAATTTAGATCTAAATTTTTTGTATAATTTGATCAGAATTGTAAATTAGTTTAAAGATCGTTGTACATTGGTACCATTCTATCTTAGTCATAAACATGGACTTCTAATATTTCCAAAGATAATGCATGTTATTCTAGGTTATTTCAAAACAACATATTTTTCTAAGAAAACTAACAATATAAAAGATTGTAATATCATTGAATAAAAAAATAAAAATCCCCTTCCTAATTTTTCCTAGTAGCTTTTTTAACGAGTCTTGTTTAAAAAGTCATTAAATTTTTCTTTAATGGTTTAGATAATAAGATTTTCATTAAAAAAACTAAAAGTTGAGTGACAAGTAATTGGAACCTTTCAGAATGAGTCTTCAGCTTTGTAGAGAGTATGTGCAGATATTTTATATGCAAACAAGAGTAGATATATAAGATCAAACAATTTAATTGGTACTTTCTTCTCTAATTTTTTTATTTTTTACTTTTATGTTTTATATGTATAGATAATAACAGATAACTCAACTTCGTCTTTGGAAAAAATAACAGTTGAGAAGCTAGTGGAGCTTGCAAGAGCAAAGCCTGGCAAGAATTCAAAATAGGTGGAAACGAGGATTTTGGGGATCTAGGTTCAGCCCTCCAGCTCTAAGCAAGGGAAAGATTTAGTAATATGTAATTACGAAGATTTGAAGAATCTAGGTTTGAAACATTCGCGGTGGAAACGGCAAGAGGGAGCTTCATCGTTCAGAACGATAGACAAGGCCGAGACGAGGCTTCAGGGCACTTCGCTGTCCACGATCGGGATTGCAGAGCCTTGCGTGATTTTGTGCTCTGGCGCGTATCTCACTAGTTATCAGTGATGACCAGGACGTGCTAAATATAGAAGTAATAGTTTTTCGGGTTTTGTGTTTCTCAGGCGAATTTGACGCCTCTCGAGGATTTAGGGTTTGACTCAGCGTGTTGTGGTAACTTGGAGGTTGGGATTGTAGGTTGCGGGAAGGAGCTGACCAAGGCGGTTGTTCTTTTCGTGCCTTATCGGATTCTACTTGTGAAAACTGACAACGTGAATACTCGAGCGCAAACGAAGAGGGTGTGTGCAACATTGTATAGGGCTAGGGTTTCCAGTGAGTTGGGACACTCATCGGAATTGGGTTCGGAGATTGAGATTGTTTTTGATTGGGAGGATTGATGTTTGTCTGTGATTGCGAGTTGTGGCTCTGATTACCGATTTGGGTGACTGATCATTGCGCTATCAACTGACAATTTATATTTTCTAGGCTGAGTGAAAGAGAGTTGTAGAAGGGGGGGAGAGAGAGGGAGGGAGACATGTCGTCGAGCAGTGGGTTGACCTTCAAGTTGCACCCTCTAGTGATTGTTAACATCTCCGATCATCACACCCGGAGTAAGGCCCAAACCGGGCGAGCTGGTCGTCCACCCCGCGTGTATGGCTGCGTTTTAGGGGTGCAAACGGGGCGCACGGTTGAAATATTCAACAGCTTTGAGCTTCGCTACGATCCGGTTGAGGAACTCTTGGATCGCGCCTTTCTTGAAACCAAGCAAGAGCAATGTAAGCTGCACACTTTAGGTTTACGTTCTGATGAACTTGTTCTAATGACTCAATTTCTTATTTTACACTGAGATTTCTTTAGACAATTTTTTCGGTCTCGAAGAAGCTTGAATTACAGTGCACTCGAAAGTTTTAGTCTGCTATTCTTGGCTTTTGTAGCTGGTCCGACGGATTGTCTATATTATAAATGCAGAAATTGGGAAGAGATTGTGGGCGTCTTTTTGCTTACTGTTGGTTAGTATCATATAGTATTTGGTCAATACCCTCTGTAATTGCAGCGTCTTATGAATATATGAAAAAGTGAAAGAGTATCTGATGAGTCATTAGTCCCACTATTGACCGGCTGCAATTGCGTGCTAGATGCTTTGGTTATATTCAGTAGCGTGAGGATGGATGTTTGCATGCTTTCAATTTTGATATTTAAATCTTATATTTGTAGACCCACTGGTTACCACTAATTGGCAAAACTTGAATGTTCGCTTTGGTGCCAACAGACAAGAAGGTTTTTCCCAAGTATGACGTCCTGGGCTGGTACTCAACCGGCAGCGATGTCCAGGATTCGGATATGCTTATTCACAAAGCTGTAAGTGGCTAGATGTCTCAAGAAAATTCATACACTTTAATGATATGAACATTCCGTATAATCCTGGTTGCATCTTGAGTGGCGCTTCCTATTATGAGTTATCGTTTTGCTCTCTTCCTGACGAATTTGGATTGCCCTCGTGGTGTTAGATTGTGTTGGGAATAACGAAGACAAATTTTGAGAAACTTGTCAGTTCCCATTTCAAGCATCATTTCGGTAGTTATCTTAACTAGTTCAAGGATTCTGATGTTTTTTCTTCCTCTATGTCAGCTCATGGACATTAATGAAAGTCCAGTTTATGTGCTCCTGAATCCAACTATCAACCACGCACAGAAAGATCTTCCTATCAGTATTTTCGAGAGCGGTAAGTTGTTCTGTGCTGAGGACTCAAATGGAATTGCAATTCGGGTCTAAAGAAGATTGTCAGGCATAATTGCCTAACTAAATTGCAACTCGTGACTATTTTTAAATGTATAGGAAGGAAGTGACAATCTTTTAAAAGATTATATTTGGTGTTTTCAGGGTAGCGTATTTTTACAGCAAGCATAGAGGATGTTCCGGCGTTGTCTAGAATCTCTACCAAAAACTTTTCTTTTGGTCATTTTATACATTGCAAGTGCACTTTATTTTGTCTAATTTTGATTTCGGTAATGTTGATATTGCCGTGCAGAATTACACGTGATTGACGAAGTTCCTTCCCTCATCTTTGTTAATGCTAGCTATACTATAGAGGTACGGTTTTTCTTTGTCCCTGTGTCAGTTTATCATGGGCTCTTCTTTTCTGTTGATGAGGTGTTTTTGACCAAGTATTTCTACATCGTCTTTTGCTCTTGTTTTGATCGTGGAATGGACATGTGTTTTACCAGACGGTTGAAGCTGAGAGAATATCAGTGGACCACGTGGCACACATAAAGCCTTCTGACGGAAGCTCTGCTGCAACACAGCGTAATGTTCTTCTCAGTATCCTCTCTTTTGTTCTTGATTGTCTTATGTAAACCGCTGTGTTTCTACTGGTTTAATTTTACATGTGAAATGGATTAGTTGTCAGTCATTTTTAGTGCAATCAACGAGCTCTTCAACCTTGTATATGTTGATCGCACTACTGCGATTTCTCTCTAATGGTAAAATATATACACCCTGGATGTATTTTGAAGGAATGATGTCATTGCATCTGTCACTGTCTAACAAATGGCGTGGTTTTCACAGTTAAAATTTTGTGGGTCTTGTGGTTGCTGCAGTTGCTGCTCATTTGACCGGGATGCATAGTGCCATAAAGATGCTTAATAGCAGGATTCGAGTTTTATATCACCACCTTGCTTCTATTCAGAAAGGTACGCTGCAAGGATCTTCATCCTCTTATTCTGTGATGATCGTATTTCCTTTTGTGGTTAACGTAATAGGAGGTTGTAGCTTAAGGGTGGTAGTGATGTCTTCTATCGTACCTCGTTTTATGAGGTGTTTCTGAACAGGGGATGCTGAATACGAACATTCTTTGCTACGTCAAATTTCAAGTCTTGTGCGGAGATTACCAGCTATTGATTCTCCTAAGTTTCAAGATGATTTTCTCATGGTGAGTATTTGATTGTCTAAGAATGAAGCAAACTCTGTGCTTAGTAAGAGAACTTAGATTTGACCTTTTAAATGTTGTATTGGATGAATTTGACCCCGCGTTATCGCCATGGGTGCTTCTCAAGGTTACTAATCAGCATTTTCTGTGCACTTTGGCAGGAATACAACGATACTTTGCTCATGACTTATTTGGCCACGATTACCAAATGCTCCAGGTAAATTACCCACTGTAACACTTTTGGCGACATTCGTCATAGGGGAAATATATTTGAAGCTTTTATTGATGGGAATTCGGATTGTCTTGGTACTACCGTGTTTGAAGTTGCACTTAATGGCGGCTTCATTTTCTCATTATTCAATTCTGGTGAAGTTCGTGTCACGTTGGTCTTACGTCGACTTACAAAATGAAATCTTAATATTTCTTGCAGTACTATGAATGAGTTGGTGGACAAATTCAACACAGCTTATGACAAGCAAAATCGGCGGGGTGGACGTACTACTTTCATTTGAGTTCTCAATAGTGGTCAGTCTCCATATAGAGAAAAGCATTAGCTAAGGTACAGGCATAGTTTGGATGGTTAATGTAGGATAGTTTGTGTCAGCGACTGCTTTTTATCATGAGGTGGTTTCTAGATACGATACATATTGCCTTCACCCAATGTAGGGATCCAGCGTCAGGAAGGTATTCTAGGTGTAATGTTTGGTAGGAACCAATCTGAACATGTGCTAGCCTGTTCTAAGCGAGGATCTGATTGTCGTGAGCTACACAAAGTTTATTCAATGTCTGGAGGAAGTGAGTTTCGCCATTGTGTTTGTCTTTTTGTTCTTTCGCTGATTGGTTCAGAACTCTTGTTGATCTAGTTGCACGTATAGTCATTGAGGATTGGCATCATGTTTGTCGACAACATTACAATTGGGCTAATTATCAGGATGGATTTAGTTCGGTGCTTCTCTAGTCGGTTAACAATTTGCTACTGTTTATGCTAGAAAGGATTTCCATTAACCATTCTGATTCTATTGTGAACCAGTATCGACCCATACATCAACCCGTTTTGCACAAAATCAGTTTTCAAAGGATGAATGTATAGGGAATATTTCTGCAAATATATATACCTGCAAATAATTTTTTAAAAGTGTATTGAACGAAAGAAAAAGATCCGGAATCCAATGCTTCTGACGAGCAACGATAAAGATGATTATTTACTCTATATATGAATCTAATGTATATAATGAGTTACTATCCATACGTATACATATAAACCATCCATGTTGATATTATTTCTAATCCAACTCCAATTCTTGTCTGAGAAGTTCATGACAACAAATTAATATCCTAAAATTTCATCAAAATCTGATTATGTGATGTATTTGACATGTAATCAGACTTGCTATTACACGCTTATCAATTTCGTCATATATATATTTCGTTCCTGTATTTTGACTAGCTTTTTTTCTACATTTGTACAGTTTCAATCTAATTAAGTGTACAAGTTGGTGAGGTATCTCCAAAGTAGTGATGACCTTGCAAAATAGAGCACAACCACCAACTTCTCTGGGAGAAGCATCATTTAGCAAAAACCTTAAATTCAGATAGGAGGTTCCATGCTGTATTATCGACAGCACTTTCTTTGTCTGACAAATTTTACAACCAGAATTATGTATATTGCAACATTGCATTATCCATTATTGGGTACTTTTGCATTTAAGCAATTTGATATTTCATGTGAATCTCTGTACATCTTCTGATGTATGGTTTAACTACATGTGCATGTGAACTGTATCCATGTAAACTGTTTGGAGCCCCAGTTGTATCAATTTTCAGTGAAAAGATCATGTTCTTTTTGTATTAACAAGTTTCATAATATTGTCGTGCTATTCATTGTCAGTAAGTTTAATGTAATGAGATATTGATCTAATTTTGGTTTTGAAGGACATAGCACAATTGTTGTAAGAAAATCATTTTATGACGCTATAAATTGAGGTTATTTTCAGGAATTAAAGTTATGATATATATATATATATATATATATGACGAAATTGATAAGCGTGTAATAGCAAGTCTGATTACATGTCAAATACATCACATAATCAGATTTTGATGAAATTTTAGGATATTAATTTGTTGTCATGAACTTCTCAGACAAGAATTGGAGTTGGATTAGAAATAATATCAACATGGATGGTTTATATGTATACGTATGGATAGTAACTCATTATATACATTAGATTCATATATAGAGTAAATAATCATCTTTATCGTTGCTCGTCAGAAGCATTGGATTCCGGATCTTTTTCTTTCGTTCAATACACTTTTAAAAAATTATTTGCAGGTATATATATTTGCAGAAATATTCCCTATATATTCATCCTTTGAAAACTCATTTTGTGCAAAACAATAGTCCTTTTCAATCACGTTGCAAAGTCGTTTAATAAATGATTCTACAGAGACTAAAAATGGACTACCCAATGTTTGTGTCCTACAAATACATAAATGTTCTGTTTTTCTGTGTTTCCTGTAAAGCCATTTTCTATATAACCTACGCAATGATTCAGTGAACAGAAAGAATATCTAGGGAATATTTCTGTCATATTCTTGGTTATAAATTTGAACTACCCGCATAAACCGCACATCAAAGAGTTGACTTAGAAGTAGAACCCCAGAATTGTAGGGTTTTTGTTGAATCTCAATTTGGGATGATAATAGTTAAGATTCCATGCACTGATTTGTGTGCATGACGTTATACTCAACAACTCCGCAAATGGGGAGGAACCAACCATAGACCTCGGCTGTATCCACCTCATACAGTCGTGCCCAGGGTTTAATGAACATAATCACAAACTACTTAGTTGTTTGTCGAGTATTCACCTTCAAAGCACCATATCTCAAAGCTGCAGATCGATAAACATCAGCATGGGCCTCAATAGAAGCTGCACACCCCAAAATACACAGAATCAAAACTGGTTAAAAACACGTCGCAGTTATCAAGACCATGCTATTCGATATCAGCAAAAACACGAAACAGTGTTGTTTCGCTTCGTGATGCAAGATACAGAAATCAGCCAGAAAATAAGTGAAGGGATAGTCACCATCGATAGGACGAGAATAGCCTCCGCCCATGGTGATCACCAATGGAAGGTTGCGTTCCATGCAAGCGCTGTAAACCATGTTATTCCGCTTCAGCAGCCCTTGTCTGAAAAAGCAAGCACTCATACTAAGAAACAGCACCATTACGTAAGCACGCCATTTCAACAGTAACGGAAAGTAGACGTACAGATTGGCATCAAGAATTTTAGCACAGGTAACAGAGGACGATAGGCACCTCGTCATAGCCAAGCGGCCAAAGCTATCTTCTTTAAGAGCATCCACTCCAGCCTGAAAGAATATCAGGCTCGGGTCATGGAGCTCAATAAGATGCGGTAGCCAATCAGCAAGTTTTGCTAGGTACTCTTCATCCTTGGTGCCATCAGGAAAGCCGATATCATAGTTTGATTTCATTTTCGTTTTCCATGGGTAGTTCCCAGCCCCATGCATGTCAAAAGTGATAACGCGATCGTCATTCTCGAACAACTTGGATGTCCCATTACCCTGTTGGGCAAAGAACACAGCATGATCAGGTAACGAAGGCAAGTTGTGCTCTAACCCGTGGTAAAATCATACTAGCACATATCCACTATTTCGAAAATCTCCATTTCTTTTGGAAAATATTATAATCTATACATTCCTGATGAAATCACCTGATGAACATCAAGATCCACAACAAGGATTGGAGTTTGCGAATTGCACTTGGCTGGATAATCCCTTAAGCATATTGCCGAAGCTACAGCAATGTCGTTAAACACACCTGCAATATGGCAGGAGTGGTTAATAGCAATTAGAGAATATCTCTTGCATACTAAAAGGATAACACTTGTTGATGATATTAATCCAGAGTAACATTGTGTTTTGGCCAAGTCAGTAGTTCAACTTGTAGTGCTTTTTGGGAATCTCCATTCTATTTTGAAGCACTTGAACGGTAAAATATGCACATCCCTCGCACACCATGACCACAATACTTCATATCAAACTTGTGCAGTCTGGTTCCAGTCTTAGATCGAAGGAAGCTGACGTTCCAAAAGCTTAAAGTCAGCTTAGAGAATACGTACTTACAAAAACCCTCCCCATGACCTGCAAAAGCGTGGTGTGTTCCCCCTGCAATGTTTGCTGCCACCTTTCTTTGGCCTTGCATCACTGTATGCATTGCTGCCACTGTTCCTCTGCTTCTCACAAAATATTAAAGACGATATTTAGAGCCTAATATTCGAGGTTTCAAAAAAAGGCTCCTGCTGCAGGTCCTTACATAAAATGTTGAGAAAATAGTACAAAATGTACGGCTAATTTCGAGTAAGATCAACAATCAGAGAAGTCTCAATAGCCGTTTCGGGATTGGGCATAACAAACGACACTAATGCGTTAGTCCTGCTCAAAGGGAACGAAGTAGCCAAAGTGGGTTCAGCATTACAAGAGATAGAGAGTGCAAGACATAGTGGGTTACAGCATTATAGTATGAGAGATAAAGCTGAGGACTGTCAAAAGAAGCTTGGTAGCGTGGCTATTGTGGAATTCGCAGAACATGTGATTCAAAATCTTCTCAAGAGAATAGCTTGTCAGACAAACTGTAAGTCTCGAGCACGACTTTCAATTGAGAAGAGTGGAAATGCAGGCACATAATAAACTATCCCCATCAATGTGTAATCATGTGCTTCCTCTAAGAAGTAACATTAGCGAAATACTCACCCGGTAGAAGCAAAAGAGCGTCTTACGAGTTCGACACTCCAAGGGAAACCGATCGCTCGCTGTTCCTTTGCAGTCAACTGTCCTGAAGAAAACCTTTGAACGTAGCTGTGGCAGGTAATATGAAAGAGTTGGTCAACATAGGGAATTGAAAGAGAGAAAAGGAGGGATCAGAGGATATAAGAACTCGAGTTATGCTACAAGTTGGACTTAAGGAATGTCCAAAGAAGAGAGAATTTACCCTTCATCATGCACCAAGCAAACATCATCATAAGACGGCAAGGGGGCAGGCCTTGTCTCAAGAATATCACGCAGTTGTATGTCTCCCTCTAATAACATGCGCGTGGCCCGATATCTGCCAGCTTGCAACAGAAATGAGCTACGTCAATAACGTAAACCCCAATCTCTTTTCTTTAATTATCCTCCAACCAGCAAACTTTAAGGTTAAAATGCCCTAATCACAACTGAAACTCTCTAATTGGATCCCTTTTCCTGCCAATGCCATACAGAAGAAGAAGCTTACATGAGCGGGAAAGGAAGGAAAAACTAACTTGGTCATCGGGAATCTGTGATCCTCGGGAAGTGGTACCTCGTGGTGGTCAGCACAAAACGCAATTAACCCCTCTCCTACATCGCCACCCAATGTCGAATTTGCTTCTGTTGTGAATACTGTCCGTTGAATTTCTCCTACGCCTGCGTAGATGTTTCGGTGGAACTCGGTGCTCCTCAATCTGTTGAACCCTGTCTTCCAGTACTTCTTTTCAGCTTAAGAAAATACATGTATCAAGAACTCGGTCCAGAGTAATATAAGCTTGAGCTATTTTCACACAGAAATCAGCAGACCGGGGACAGCTACTTTTAGTCCAGGCTTATGCCAATTCTCTGGACTCTGCTCGCAAGATTAACGAAGTACAGCGTCTGTTATGTTCACCTCGAACAGAAGCAAATGGGCAGAGTATTCACAAAACCGCGTAAATGTCAAATGCCAATTCTGAAATTCTAAGAGAAGCACATAGGTGAACATACGAGGCCAAAATTCTAAATAATGTGCTACGATTTCCGGGACGACTGGACCATATTTTGGAATTTTGAGTAATTTACTTCAGCACTGCAATAGACCCAAACAAAAACAAATAACGTAAAAACATCTCTCATTCGAACGAAAATTGAAAAATCCGGCCTAGGCAATGAAACGTGTAAAAACGAAGCAAAACAACGCGCAGCATATCCAACTGAAACCGAAATCTACTAGAAATTCTGTCGAACAGAGCCATTACCTCGAACCAGGTCCTCGAAACACCTCCTGAAGGTAGGAACTAGGGCTCGCAGGCTCCGACATGTCGCCCTTCGAAACTGGTGAGACGACGAGAGCTGCGCAAACGACAGGCGACTCCACTTCGTCGCCCACACAGCGGACATTCCTGACTTCGCAGCTCTCCAGCCTCAAATGGCCACCCACAATCCCACTGATCTCGAATTGTCCGCCCACTGAAAATAAATAAATAAATAAATAAAATATTGGTATATCGAAGCCGTTTCCGATGCTGCTGCAGCTTCACGGAAAACTCAAAACAAGCTAATGCACGATGTGAAAAATGCGTCTTCATAACAAGAATCCATCAAACCTGAAGGCAATCCATGCACACGGATTGGAGCCTCCGCGCTCGTCACCCACGATGGGTGGTAGTTCTGAAGATCCCCCAGATCCTGTTCGACGAGGATGAATGACATAATGATGAAAACTATATGGATGGATGAGTGGATGGAAGGGTGGATGGATGAGTGGATGGATGGGTGGATGGATGAGTGGATGGATGGGTGGATGGATGAGTGGATGGATGGGTGGATGGATGAGTGGATGGATGGCACGAGGGTTTAAGCGTTCAACCATCCCCTGCTACTCTGCCCGACTTAATGTTAAAATAAAAAAATCTAGTTATTTAAAAAGTTTATAAAAGTCAATCCTGATGTGATTTTAAGTATTTTTTTAAAAAATTAAATTTCTTCTATGTTATGTATAAATAGAAAAATCCCAAGAGAATCCTCAAACTCATGAATATTTTTTTCCAGTCATATAAACATATAGTCTTACAACAACATTCAAATTAATGGTTGAAATTAATGGTTGAAATTAATGTAATCATTTGACATAAGTTTTACAATTTTAAGAAGCATATTCCTCTAATACTCAAGTTTTTAAAAAACTTTCTTTGCTTTAGGACTCTGTATTGCCAAATTTTGTATTTTTTTACATTTAAATATGGTACAATAAATATTTACCTTAAAAAAATACTATTTAAAGTTCACCTCAATTCTAAAACGAGATTTTTGAAATATCCCTCCAACCCAATTCCAAATGTTGCCATAATATAATTTGACTTCCAAACCCTTATCACTATCACCTTCCCACTTCTTCTATCAATTTTCTTAAAATTGAAGCAAATATGTTCTTTATATCTTTCAAACCTAGGCTCACTATTCCAATATCTACCTAAAAAATCCAATATTTAACTCCAATAAAATCCCACCACATTCTTTGAATGTTTTTATTTTAAATTATTCTTCTATTTTATACTACAACTTAAGTTCAATTTAATTCTAATAATTTAAATTTAAATTTTTATATTTTAATAATTAAAATAAAAATTAGAAATTCATAATTAAGTGTTACTAATTTTATATATTCTAAAAAATCATGATTTGACACCATTTAAAATTCATAAAAGATGTGCATTAATATAGTGACTGAAAAAAAAAAAAAAAAAAAAAAAAAAAAATCTTGTAAAAAAATATGTTTTTTTAATAAAAGTTAATTTTTACTTATTATTTATAGCTTCTTTAAGAAAAAGACAATTTTTTATTGAACACACAATTATTTTGTCCATTTCTTTGCATAGTTTTTGTCTTAGTATTATCATTTAGTCCAGCATCAAGGGCCAAACTATGTCAAAATTAGTAAATTTAGTAGATCAGTCTAGTTTTGACAACCAACATTTGTTTTAAGATTTATTTATTTTTTTAGTATTTTTTGTTTCTTATTAATTTTTATTCAACTTGTGTCTGAAATAGTATATTGGAAGAAACCTCTTTGACTTAATATTTTTATTAAGTCAAGTCTAATGAGATTTAGGGTTTAGAGTTTAAAGAACTTGTGTAAAGATTTAATCATGATTATAAAAAAAACCTCAAATTTTTTTATTCTTACTTTCTTAAATTTTTTCTTAACAAAATTAATTATAGCTTGACTAATTCATAATGATTGATAAAGAAACTTCACTCTAATTAGAATTTTTTATATTCTCATTTAACAAAAATTGTATTATTTTCTCAAAAAAAATTCTAATTTTTTATTTTAAATTAATTTAAAGAAAAATAAAGAATTAAAAAATAATTTTTAAATTTAAATATTATTAACATAAAAATTGGTATAAAACTCGAATTTAGAAGCAAATTTTGCATAATCAAAATTTGGAGAATTTTATCTTGGAATACTTATTAGATGTCTATCTACAAGGTGTCAAACAAGTTTAAGGTACCAACTCATATAACTAGACAATACTACAAAATATGAATAGCAAAATAGTAAATAGGTGTAGCATAGCAATTCAACAATAATACTTAGTTTTTCAAGGATTTTTAATTTATAAGCTTTACATTTTTTTTAGTATGGTGTGGCTGAAGATATTGTTACTTATTCAACATCAACTTACTTTGACTACAATGTACAATGCTATGGTGGATGTTAGTCCAGTTAATTCTTTTCCTTGAACTACTGGCAACATTAGAGCTTGATTTTTTGTATATGTTATTACAATTGGATTTGTATCTGTGATTCCATTGTCGGTTGCAATGGGTGCCACAATTGTTGATCAATAGTGATGTGTAGCATAGATGTGACATAATTGCTACTACTATACTATTATTGAGTTATTGATCATTGATATTAATTAACATATTCTTTTATAGTTATGATCTTTTTTAAATCTATTGTTATTTCCTTAGAAACATGGCTCAATGTTGTAATTCTTTAGTTACATTATCTCACATCTTTTTTTTATACTTGCTCTTATTCATGCATTATTAGGAAATTCTTTGATATGCGCCAACATTGGCAACAAATTGCAATAAATATTGTCTCCTTGAGTAGTGATATACTAACTTTCAAAGGAGAATCAATCAACAAAATTGTAAATTTTGAGAAGCCATATTTGAAATGGTATTGATCTTTTGTCAAATTACAAATTAAATAAGATGCATGCCCAAGTAAGCTATCATTCACCTAATTTTTTGCTTGAAAACTTTAGTAACAAGAAAAAAAAAATGCATTTTAAATAAACCTAGGTCTATTGACTTAGTTTTGGATTTTTTTTATTAGTCACCTTTAATTGATTTAACGAATTTATAATATTATTTAGAATTATTTCTCTCATTTTTTATTAGTAATATAGTTTCTTAGGATATTTGTTTTTACAATTAAGAAGGTTTTCTTTGCTCATGAGAGCATTATCAAAGAAAAAGAAGTTGAATGCTAAAGTCTTATTGTAGTATAGGCATAATACATGTAAAGTGTTAAAAAAATTAGGTATCCCTCAATCTACATGCTTTAGGATTTAAAGAGAGTATGTTTCCTATGTACAAACTTTAAAAAGAGGATGCCTAAGAAGCATCACTCTTGTTCAAAGACGAGTGTATATAAAAGTCATTATAAATGATAAAGTAGATAGTGCTATAGACATGAGAAATGCTTTGAGCGAGCACTTGAATGTGGTGTTGAGTACCAACATAATGAGGCATTTGTTGTGTAGTAATTAGAATATATGGTGAAAAATAAAAATATGGATGTTATTATAGAAGAACCTAGTAGAAAGATGTAGTAGAAAAATAAGGATAAATAATAGGAAGGTAGTAAAATATTTAGTCTTAATGCTGCCATTTGTAGAAAAAACTTCTATTTAGTTTGTAGGGATATAAATACCTCTAATCAAAGTAAATGTGATAAGTAAATAATATACACATCTTTAGGAGAATTTTTAAAATAGATTTAAGTAAAAATTACCTCAAATTAATAAAAATTGATACCCAAAGAAGACTAGTTATGAACTTGGATTGAAATCAAAGTCCAAGGCATAGAACTGCATACCTATAGCAACTCCAAAGTTCTTTTAAAAATCAAAGAATAAAATTATAGAGAAAAATAAAGAAGAGATTTTGAAAGTTAGTTTCATATTATTTGGATAAATATTGAGTTTTTGAAGAATTTTCAAAATTAAGTAATGTACTTGGTGGGTTTAGATTTTGGAAAATAAAATAAGTTAACAAGTTTAAAAAATTTGTGAATTTTGTGGCATATTTACAAGTCAAAATTTGGCACTTTATCATTGTACTTGTTATAAATGTATGTTATAAATTTGAGATTAATTGAATAGTTAGATTGAAGGATATGTGAGTTTTTGTAGATTGTCATCTTGAAAATTGGAGTTCAAAAGAATGGTGAAGATTTCTAAGATATCTATTAATATACTAGTTGGATTGATACACAATTTTATTCAATAATACATAGGATGAATTTCAAAAAAAATTCAAAGTTTAGAATCAATTAAATAGTGAAATCAAGAGATTATGACTCTAGAATATCAACATCAAGGTTGGCCAACATCCAAGTGGAGTTTAGGGATTGTTGTCTATTTGGTATATGCAATCTTCTTAAAAATTTTTGTGCTTGTTACTAAATTAGTTTTTGTAAAATTTACAAATTTTGAATCAAAATCAATAGTTCAATTATTGATTATTGAATTTTCAATCTGCTATAGGATTTATTAATAATTTGTTTAAGATTTAAGATTTGATTAGGTTATGCTTAAGATCAGTTTAGGATTTGATCTAAGATTTAAGATTTTCCTAAGATTTGATTAGAATTTTATTAGGATTTCATTAGGATTTAATTTAGGATTTGATTTAGGATTTGATTAAGGTTCATTAGATTTTTAATTAGGAATTTTATTAAGATTTAATTCAGATTTGATCTAGGATTTTATTAGGATTCATTAATATTTTAATTAGGATTTAATTAGGATTTGACCTAGAATTTGGTTAAGATTCATTAGGATTTAAATTAAGTTTTAATTAGGATTTGATCTAGAATTTACCTAAGATTTATTTAAATTTCAACTAAGATTAAATTAGGATTTGATCTAGAATTTACCTAAGATTTATTTAAATTTCAACTAAGATTAAATTAAGATTTGATAAAAATTTATTTAGAATTTATTTAAATTTTCTATTTTAATATTTTAAAGATTTTTATTATTTCTTTAGAAAATCTATTTATAGTATTTATTTAAAATTATTATTATTTATTTAAAATTTTATTTTTATATTTGATTCCATTATATTCTTAGTTCATCATTGATCAACTTAATTAGAGTAATTTCCTAAGACTATACGTGATTCAAATTCCACTGTAAGTTTATTGTATTTTTCTATTATTTTTTATTTATTATTAGTTTTTTTTTATTTTTTAAAATTAATTTATCTACTCTTAAGTTTCCTAAATATTTAAAGAAATGGATAAATGAATAAGTAGTCTTCTAAGTATTCTTCTTAGGTTTTGTGAATTCTTTTGTCTTATTTTTTACATAATATAGTATTGTCATCCTTGCTATGGAATTTTAATGTAATTTTGTTGTATTAGTTGCTTTATTAATCTCAATTTTTTTAGTGCTATAGAGCTCGAGCTGCAATGATTAACAATCTTAGTTCTAGCACTTATAGGTTAAGGTCAATAATTATTATTTTTTCCTCTCTCTTTTTTTTTTTTTCTTATTTTTGGCCCTTTTTTAGCAATAGAAGGACTTCATTTCCTTCATTGCCTATTATATCCTTTCTTTTTATTCCTTTATTTTTTTCTTATTAAAAGACTTTTTTAAGACAAAAAATAGCTTTTTTTTCTCTTATTACTTAGTGTATCCTTTCTTTTCATAGGTTTAGTGTTGGTATCAAGAAATTAGAGTGGTTAGTCCTTTATCAAGTTATTAATTAATACCAACATTGGCTTTTGAATTGTGGCTGTTTTTCTTGAAGCAATTATAAGACTCAATATTATTCTCTTCTATGATTTTGAGCTCAAGTAGCAAATCTTCTATAACACACTACTTTGTTGCAAATTTTCTACAACATTAGTCTTATTTTTTCATCAACTTGCTCCAGCCTTTTCTTTTTCATTGCTTCAAATTAAGTCTACATCCAAAAGTTATAATTTATGTGTATCATTGCTTTGTCACTCTCTTTGTCTTCAAAGAAGCTTTTCTTTTATTGATGTTATTTTTTATTGTTGCTCTCACATGGAGGTGGTTCGATGTTGTGGAGTTGGGAATTGTAAATACAAGCAAAGAAACAACTAATATTAGAACTATGAATAAAAATTGAAGTTCTAAAGATCTTTTGTATTAAATGAACCAATCCAAGCTCAACAAATTAAAAGCTAAAATTATCTTCTATTAATATATGAACTGCCTTGAAGTCTTGGTGTATCACACAAAGTTGAAAATCTTTATATTAACAAGCTAAATCACTTGTGGCTTTGAAGGCTAATTTATATTTGTGATCCAATATAGATGACTATGTAATAAATCTAAAGGTCGATATAGCTACAATTCAAATTTCTATTTGATATTATTTTATAATATATCAATATTATAGAGGTTTGATTTAGCAATAAAAAAAATCAATAGTTAAGTAGGTGCCAACAATGCAACCTATTTAGTATATTAATTCTATTTAACAAATTTTCTATGGCTATTTTTAAACCAACCTTCAAAACTCTTTTGATAAGTTTACTAAAACTTCTTGTTTCTATAAAACATTCCAAAAAATATCATTAATTTTCTTTGCAATTCTTCATATTTAATGAAGGTGACATTTGAATATAAAGATTAAAAGCATTCAAAGTACCTTATTAAAGCCTTATTGAAGTCCATTAACCAAATTAAAGAGCAAAAGATGCAATTATCAATTTCTTCTTAGTAGTTTTGGATACGAAGGAATAAAATTACAAGCAAGTAATTAGACAAAAATTATGAAGACAATGGTGTTAAGATTTCTAAAGTAGCTGAGGTTAGATTTAGATGAAAATTAATGTAAATAAAAAATCAAATAATAAATAAATTTTGATGATGAGTGAAAATTAAAATTTGAATGAAGTTATATTAGATGAATTTAAGATTAGATGAAATTAGATTTGGATGATTTTTTATACATATAAAGTTTTATTAAAAGATATAATTTTATTTATAGAAAAAAATTCCATAAGATGAATGATATTATATAGATAAATTTTATTAATTTTTTAATTTAAATAGATTAAATTAAATTGATTTAAATAATCAATGAAATTAATTAAAATACTTAAATTATGATGAATATTTTTGAAGTTCAGTAAACTATCAACTAAGGTGGTGTTATTTTAGATCACATTTTGATGTGTTTGTAGAGAGTGAAACAATTTTAACTTGTTTGAAAGGAAAGTATTTATTTTGCCTTGTATATGGATGGTTTATTACAATTGTTGAAGCTTAGATTATAAACATCAAGAAAAGATATAATTTAATCCAAGTAAATTTTTACATTAGCTTTTGTTTAAGTTATTTTAATTTTAAAGAATTAATTAGCTAAGAGAAAATATATATATATAACTAATAATTTTAATTTTTAATATATTAAAAAATAACTTTAATAGCAGTATTATATTTTTTAAATCAGGATTTTTAATTTATTGAAATAAAATTATAATTTTAATAATTTAAAAATCTAATTTTTTTTTGTAGATACTAAAATTAAATTTTATTATTCAAAAATTAATAAGTTAGCTTTATTATCAAGAATCTAGTTTAATTTATATTTTTATGTGCTCCAAACAAGCCTTGTAATTGTATTTCTTATTAACTATTATAAATTAGAACATACAATTTTTTTTGTTGTTATTTTGTTCAAACAAAAATCTTAAGCTTATCTATTTTATTTTTTTTGGCTTCTACTATAAAGAAAAAATCCGTAACATTAATGTTTTTAATATTTTTAGAAAGATGATTAAAGAAAAGAATAATATATCACATCTAAATAAATTATGTTATTGTTTACTATGTTTCTATTAGTTAAATCAAAGTTTCAATTTAAATCCAACTTTTTATAGTTTGATTTTTTTAAAAAATAATTTCATAATCTTTTAAGTTGTTATTATTCAATGACATTATAGGAATCTTAAAACCATATCTATTCTTCCTCTTGTATTAAGATATTTACTCATCTAATATTCTTTTATATTTATATCTAATTAGATTGTTTTAATTTTTTTAATTTTTTACAATTTGGAAGAAAAATATTCATAATTTTTTTTTTTAAATAAACATTATCTTGCATTAAAAAAACTACTTTGGAATAATTTATTTACATCTTCATTTATTTGTCTTTGTATTAAAAAAAATCTCATCAAATCTTAATTTCAGTTTTTTTAATAATATATATATATATATATATATATATATATATAATAAATAAGTGAATAAAGTTGAAAATATTCTATGCACATAATAAACATTTTGTGACTTTTTCTTAAATATTTTAATTTTTTTATAATTACAACTATTAACAATAATTATAAAAAAATCGAAATCGTTTGCCATAAATTTTTAACATGCCTATTAGCATCTACCGTGCCTCTTAATGTTTCCAAAAACTATGATTGAAGATACTTCCTGAAAACAGAAATTGGGGTGACCACAAAGTCTGAATTAAAGGCTGTTAATATTGCAGACCCACCATATTAATTCGAGCGGTCCACATGATTTTCCACTGTAGCAGCTCTTATACGACTACATGACTAAGACAAATGCATCATACCATAGGTGCAGAAATGCATACACAGCAGAAACAAGCTTCTGTAGAAGCATATATATGAACAGACATTTGTGGGGATATGGATGTGTATCAATTGCGAAAAACATGCCTTTGCAGATATAGTATAAAGGCATCACCTGTGTGGAGTACAGGATCAGAGGATTGTGAGTTTTTTGTACCAGTGGCCGTTTGATCTACACAGTGATGAAGAATCCAACACCAGGACCTCATGAAGCTGGTATCATCACAGTAAGTAACACGTCCGATCGCTCACATCAGAATTTAGGATGATCATCCCTCAACATCTGCATCCCCTGTACAGCACAACTGGCTGCGGGGATTAAAGCTCCGGCTTGAATGCGAGCTCAGAAGTCATGTCACAGCCATAACTTCGAGAGCACTAAAGCATATCCCACATAACACTGAGCTGTACCTACGTTAAATCTAATCGTGGAACAGGCAGTCTGCATCAGGTGCAATGGCGTGCCACTCTTTGTCTTCGCTGCGAAAGAGACTGCTGGGGTGTGGGACTGATCAGGAGTGCATATGAAGGATGTGCCCGCACTTGGGATTAGAGGCGGTGACCCCTATCGGTTCGTGAGGAGGAGATGATCTGGTAACTGTTTCGAAGGGAGTATGAAGACCATGCAACAGAAGGAACTGGCTGATGGTGAGATTCGAGCCATGACGAGAGGGAGGAAGAAGAAGCCCGTTGATGCCCTCCTCCTGCAACCACCGCAGTTACTGGCGCGAGCGGAGAGTACCACATCCGCGACTGCACGTAAGATCAAGCCTGCTGGTCACCGGTAGATGATTTTGCTTCGTGCGGAGCAATCGTGACTTGTTGTGACATCGGGCTAACTTGAGACTCGCCATTGCAGATGCAAGACGACCGGCGAGGCGTAGGACGGATACGTTCGCGGCGATTGAGATGGCTGCCCACAGACCAGTTGCAGATGCAGCCAGACCACCGGGACCCGTCATGACGACTCTAGCTGATCTGATAGCCTTGACAGATGCACGACGACGATCGAGGCTCCGGATGGCTGATTTAGCCTCAAGGCTGGAACAGTCCAGAAGAGTGCTTCTAGACATGCAGGATCATTCCAGACGAATACTTAGCGCTCTTGTTGCCGCCGATCCTCGTGTCCCCAGAAATTTCCAGGGTCACTTTCAAGGTGGAGGCCGTCAGCAATTGGCTGAGGAAACTTCGGAGATCAACGGAGCGCCATCTCCTAGTGACGACGAATCCGAAGTTTCGGGCCCCATTTCCCTTTCGGACTCTGATTCCGGCACTTAGAGCGACAGCCGGCGCATCGTCCAAGGGGGAGGACAGTAACCTGCAAAGACAGTAAGCCTATGCGTTTTACTGAGCGTCAGTGGGCTCTCTCAAGAAATTCCGTTCGTGCTGTTCATTTGCGGCAATCTCGTCGTCTTTGTGCAAGTCGAAGATTTGCTGTTTCTGTCTACCGCCACACTATGACCCAGTCTCTTAAGAATGCAACGATAATAGGGGATCTGTGCAAAATGGACTGAAATGGGGTTTCTATCGGGATTGATCATGCAACCAGCGCAGTCTGATCAGCCTCCTACTACACCTTCGGGGATCATCAGAGCTACTGTTGCAGGTAGGAAATCATCCTAGTGCAGCGTAGGTTAAGTTTCTTACCAGAAACTATTAAATATCTTCAGAGTGCAGATTGCCGGAGTAGTTCAACATCTTTGGGGAGAAGGCTTTAGTGATGGCCACTGTTGAGGTGAAATGCTGCAGGCCAAACACTCGAGCGGTTCATGATGCTGTAACGCATGCTTCTGTGCTGCAGGGTAAGCTTTGAAAAACAGCCTTCGCTAACACGACAGTGTCCCCTAATTGAAGCCTTTGTTTCTCCAGAAGTGGTGCTCTGCGGCTCTCCTGGTGGTCTCCCTACGATGTGGCTTGTGTAAACATTTCCTCTCTAACTTGTCACTTGCGGCGACGGTTTTGATTCTTCAGTGATCCAACATGGTTATTCTCGTGTAGTCTAATTCTGATATCTTTCATGGAAAGATATGGTTGGGGCTTCTGATTTTGAGGGATGATTTACAATGTCATTCAGAAGATGTGCATAATAAACAAATCACCAGCGGTCTTTCTAAACCGACAATGAACAATCCTTTACTGTAATACAAGACTCTTGTTTTTGTTAATTTATTATAGTTTATCACACAACCTGACCTGATTCATTCATCGTTCAAATGCTGAATTCATATTTATTTTTTGCCACAAATAGCTGCTTTCGGTCAGTAAGTGCATCTGGAATACGTATGTGCCCCCTTATCATTTTGACGTATCGAAATTTCTATTTCTCATTTTCTCAATTTCTTTTCTCTTTTCTTTGTCTTTTTTTACTTCTGAATGTATGTTATAACCAATACACTATCCAATACTGTAAAAGTGAACTTCACATTGAATAGCTAGTTTCCTTTGATGCGTGCGCAGATTTCATAATATAACAAGCAGTGTAAGTGTTTTCATATCTTTACTCAACTCATCTAAAAGCTTAAGTAAAAATGGAACAACCCTGTCTTACAAAATCATTTACCAGTGTCACCAATCAAAGCAATGATCAAATAGCATAATGCTATCCAAGTCACTTCAACAAACTGCTTTCCCATTATATCTTTGGCTATGCCGCAGAATTCTTAAAACCAATCGATACGTATGCATCACTGACCAATTATGGTTCTATTGATAAGCACATCCTTTACTGATTAAGAGAGTAAGAGCTGTTCTTAGTTCAGAATAACCTTTTCATCAAATCAACCATAGCGTTGTAGCTGCACTTACAAGTAGATTGGATAAAATTGATTGCTGAAATACCAAGTCGACTCCTAGTAATAATGCTCTTGGAATTCGAGCTGAAACAATTTACCAGGCTGGAAATAAAAATAGATTTGCCAATTACGACACTATTTCAGCCGTCTTTAGTCCCTGCTACAGCTCCCACTGAACTTCGCCTCCTGCCGCTAATATTCACGAGATTCAGAATGACTTGAAGTCCGAAAAGGCTCAGAAGGCCAATTAAAGGTCTCCGTAGTGACACTTTTAGAAGGAACTGATGCACGAGCGGGTTCATAAGGGACGGAGTAGCGAGTAACTGTGCTGTTGGCCAGTGACGTAGGGATGTTGGAAAGTTTTGTCCCGGGAAGTTTAGATTCAGCAGGTCGAAAAGCCTCCTGAAAAAGTTAAACAGTTACTGAACGAAACTGTCCAGTAAACGATATCTAGAAACAATTAAAGCACATAGATCCTCCAGAAAATGTGAGCATGGAACACAATAGCCACTTGATGTTTTCGGATAAACTTTAGCAACCATATTGCAATATTATGTGCAAAGCCGCGGCAGACGATGCTTGAGTAATTGCACAACTCTGATCTGATGGATTTGATGCACCTTCGCATTGCAGGAACAACTGCAATCGCTGAACATTTGGTCAAGCTCGTCAACGGGATTAGGCTTACCATCCAAGAGCCCGATATCGTTCGACGACTCGATGTATTCTAGGAATGAAACCTCATCTTCTGTGGGAGGCGAATGGTCAATAACGTCGCCCAGAGATTTCTTGAGGATATGGAATCTCACCGTGCTCTGATGAAGACAGGTAGTCGAAATCTATAACATGCTAGTACCTACAAAATCAAAACTTGTCCTCAATCACGTTGTCCTCCAGAACAGTCATACTCGCAGTTAATCATTAGATCTAAGCCTGTTTCATGTCTTGGATTAGCAGTTCGTTCTAGATTTGCAGCACATGTGTCACCAAAGACTCTGCAATCAATCCATTGCAAAACCTTCAACGTTCGGGGACCGCAGGCTAGAGGAAGATGAAACTGAACAACAGTTTGAGAAATTCGAGACTGGACATACAAACACGAATTTCATAAGAAGACCAATACATGACTTCGTAGACATGGTGCTTCCGAGTACATGAGAACGATATTGCCATTTAAGAACCAAACCACCCAACCGTCCAATTGGCACTAATCTGCTAGAACCACAAGCGTTCAGAATGAATTCTCTGCAACTGTCAGAACAGACGTTTGTGCAGTAATCATCTTTCCACTATTTTAAAATAGGAATCAGGCACCAAAATTTCACCAATTAAACGAGTGCAATCGCTCTATTAATTCGCTTTCACATCCTCAACCATGCATGTGAATACATTGGCCAAGTCCTAATGTAACACTTCTAGTCCTGTGAACTAGGCCCCTCAACCAATACTGCCGCCGAGTTTCACGCTCTCAGTATAAAAAATGTAATTTTTCATTCACACATAAAGTCTTCAAGATCAAGGTAACATCTTAGCTAACATTTTGAAATAGGTTAAACTGAAGATCCCTAATTAGAGATTGAAATTGAACAGTGGTATACATGGTGAAGAGGAGTGGGAATAAGGGCCTCCTTCCATTCTCAATGGGTGGGCAATGTTATTCTTGGACTTTGCCCTCACCCATTGCTCCCCAATCATATGGAGCACCATTCATATGCACAATATTCATAAAGAGGAATTTTTCTACTCTCTTCATTTATGTGATTCACATGTTGTAACACATTTATGTATTATATTACATATTCATTGAGCTTGTAGTTGTCAAGTATGCTTTTTTTTAAATTGATATGGATGAAATTTTGAAAACTTTATCTACATATAACTTTTGCAAAATAATCCAATTTTTAAGTGTAATACAATTTCAGAAATGGAAATGAACAATAAAGAGCATGATCATAATGAGGTTTTGTTTCAATTGAGGATATACAAAAATCCTTGTGCAAGATCAATTTAAAAAATTGAGGTTTGAATCCCAAACAATGTTAGGCCCTCTCAAACTTTATTTATTGAAGCATATTGCTTCCAATTGATATAAATGTCTTAGAAATACAATTTGTAGTTGTTTACTATTACTCTGGGGCATATTTTTCACTACTTATTGTTTATATTTCAAGTTGTGTTGTTCTAAAGAATAATAGTTTCATCAATAAGATTTTTTTTTTTTTTTTTTTTTTTTATGAAAATATTATGAAGTAAACAACATACCAACATCAAGTTGGAAATTCTTTTAAATCACAAATTGAAATAGGATTTTTCAAAATCTTCCTTATTCCTTTTAAAATTCCAAATAAATACTCAATTATTTTATATCTTGATGAGTGCTTAAACTCAAATTCATCATATAGTCTAAGAAATTGAATTCTAAGCCAAGGCACAAGCAAGTTCTTATGACTAATATATCCTATATTAGTTTAAAAATAAAATTAAAAGTTAAAGGTTGAGTTAAAAATTAAAGTTAAAAGTTAAAAGTTAAAATTAAAAAGATTAAATTCAAAAGTAAAAATTTAAAATTAAGTTTAAAAGTTAAAAGTTAAAGTTAAAGTTAAAAGTTAAAGTGAGAATATTAAAGGTTAAAACTTAAAATTTAAAATTAAAATGTATACATTTAAGATTTTAAATACATTTTGGAAGCATCAATCTTAAATTTATGAATCTTAAATTTATTAGCCAAAAGGTGAAATGTGGAGATAAAAATTTACTATGAAGGTAATAGTAAAAATAAAATAAGAGGGATGAAAGCAGAGGTACCTTGACAACACGCAAGGATTGAAGGCAACGACCCCCTTCTACTCCTAAATTTGCCAAAATTTGTAATCACCTTCGATTTGAATGATTCTTAGCTTTTTGCAAGGCTAAGTTAAAGACGCTTATGATCCAACAAATTTAATTGCAATTTAATGATCCAATTGTAAGGATTTCTCCCTTCAAGTTGAGTGATCTAAACTACCATGGCGACCAATCCTCTTCTCTTAGAAATTCACTAAAAATTCAGATTGTCTTCAAATCTAACAAAACTTGTTCCTTTCAAAGCTTAACTTATAAAGATTGATGCTTCCAAAATTTCAAATGAAGCCAATTATCAGGCACTAGGAAATGCCTTTCCAAACTTGATTGATCTAAACTATAAAGGCAGTCGACTCCCTCACATTCAAAAATTCACCAAAAATTCCTTCTCACTTCAAATCAAGCGAGTCTTATCTTTTTGGAAAGCTAACAATAAAAGCTACAACTACTTGGAATTTCACATCAAAAAAAAGAAACTGAGTGACTGATTGAGGAAAATCCAAGGCCCTTGAAACCCTTGGGATATTTGGAGAGGCCGAGGGAGCTATCTACCTCAATGAAGCATCTTTTAAAACTTTATGACCCTCCTTCACAATTCAAAATCCATACACATACAATCACAAGGTTCACAATGAGATTTTAAGTCTAAACAAAATTAAGATTAGGGTTTTGGCCAAATTATGGCATGGCATTGCTCTTCATCCAAAAGAGGAGAAAGAGAGGGCTTGGAAAACCAAGCCTCTCTTATACAATTGAGTGGAGGCTTGTAGAAGGGTAGCTACATCTCCACCCTTGATTTTTAAGATCCCTAATCTAGATCTTTGGCCTTCATTCATCCAAGAACCAATCTCATTGCTAAGGCTGATGGCTCTTGTAAGTGGCCAAGAAAGCATTTTTTTTGGTAAATCTAATTTCACCATTGTGTTCAAAACACATTTTTAAGCTAAGATCGACTACTCACATGCCTCAATCCATGCTCAATTATAATTTTCATGGAAGTTTTTACTTACAAAGATCTTGGCAATTTTTTGAAAAATTCTTCAAAATGAGAATTTCATTGCTTCATTTGTATTTTGAAGGAGAGGGTGCTGATCTAGTTTTCTTTACTCCATGGGATAAATCTGGTGCCACCATTGCATTAAAAAGACTCCCATTAATTAAAAGAACCACCATGCTGCTTGAATTTGTCGAATTTGGGAGAAAATTAAAATTATCATTGCTAACTTCAGTAAATCTTTTAGAGAATTATAATTCCAACTCCTAAATCATGTGAATGATTATAGATGAACTCATAGGCTTTTAATCAACCCTCATAGTAATGACTAACAACCTCTAAA